GCTATATTGCTTTTTATATAAACATATAAAATAATCTTATTAATTATTTGTATACATGGATTCTAGTTAATATATATATATATACATATATATATATATATATATATATATATATATATATATATATATATATATATATATATGTTGGTAATAGACATAGGTAATAGAATATATGTTTGGAATTCTCTTAAGCGAGGCAGAATGCCTGATCTTATTTTCATGCTGTCTCCTTGCTTAACATCCAATTCCAAGCCAAGCCAAGCTGAGCTAATTTTGCTCGCTTTATATATATAGTATATAAATTTATTATTGAAGCAACAGTAATCAGTGCTAAATATGTGCGCACGCAGTTCAAATTTTTCTGAGAGAATTCCAAATTGTTTGAGACCACACCTAGCTTAACATCCAATTTCAAATCGAGCCAAGTCAAGCTGAGCCAATATGCGTAGATTTATAAGCGCTTTTATATTAAACTTTTGCTCCCTTTATATATGAATATCCCAATATAACAAATTTTCCATCCTATTTTAAAAATTTTCATTGATGCTTTTAATCAGTCAGGTCAAAATCATCATCATCGATATCGCGGTGAAATCAAATTGAAAATTTGTTAATAATTGTTAATAAAAGTATCATATATATATATATATCAAATCAAATCAAATCAAATCAAATCACTTTTATTCAATCAAACAAAACAAAAGCATGAATGATTCGGAGACCAAAAAAAAGAAAATTAATTCTTGTGGGCTCGGCCACCGTGCAGCTCAAAATTGCTTCTCAATGATAAAATAAAATTGTCAATAGGAGAAAATGTATCAATGTTAATGAAATATGTACACACTTATATACATATATATATATACATATACATTATTATCCTTGAAAAACAGAACTTTTCGTAATTAAAAAATTTTTCAGTTTATTTTTAAAAAGATGCAAAGTGTTACAATCTTTAATTTCTTGTGGAATCGTCTCCCATATTCCTGGGCCGGTGTGTTTCAAACTCATGCAGAGTACTTTAATTCTGGCTGGTGGAGCATAGAAAAGTGGCGTGTGGCGTGTAGTTCTTGCTTGAATGGAAGTTCCAAAAGTGAAAAAGTTTCTAAAAAATGCCGGCAATTGCTGACATAGAAATCTAAAAATGAATGTTGCAACGTGGTAGATGAACAAGTTTTTGATGTTGAGTATTTTCATCTCGAGATAATAT